CCATCTGCTCCAGGTGCATTCCATTCTGCTTAAGGAGCATGTTCCAACCTAAGAAAATACAGAGCTGGAGCTGACTAGACAGAAACAGTACATTGTAGCCCTCAATTTTTCTCGGTTTTGACATCTTCTGTTACATGCCAAATTAGCAATAAATTCTGAGGAAAACCTCAGATGGAAAACTCTTCTTTCAGGCAAACCAAATGATACTTTCTAAAGGAGGATTAATTTTTCTCTGATCCCACTCAGCTTTCCTATTCAGTAGCTTTTAACCACAAGTCTTCTCTGATTGGAATAGCCATTCATGTTCTTAGTTCGATTAAAAAAAGCCAAAGTTTGCGATTTGCAAGAGGAAGAATAGCATGCTGAAAGGGCAGTCTAGAACCGCTGTTCCAGGTGTAAATTCTGGTGATGTCATTCACCAGCTTGAAGCCCTTGAGAAGTTATGTGAGCTTTCTGAACTTCATTTCCCTTAGCTGTAACATAGGAGTAATGACATAGTGACATGCTGAGTAGTAAGTTCTTACTTTGTGCCAGATATTGTTCTAAGCACTTTCTACTTTATTAGCTACTTTAATCCTTAGAACAGCGCTTGCAGTAGGTACTACTGTTATTATCTCCATTGTACAGAGGAGAAAGCGGAGGCAGAGACCCTAGGCAACATGGCTCCAGATTCAAGCTCTTCACTCCTCCAAGTGGGTAGAATCAATTCCTGTAAAGTACTGGGCACCACACAGAAGAACAGTAAGGCTTCACTCAGCAGTAGCTGGTATTTCTATTAAGCTAATGATTCCGTATGAATTATATTCTGTGACTTCAAGTGAACTCATTTTCCTACTTGCATTCTCCTCAGTTAAAACTACACTTTATGGGACTTCCCTGGCAGTCCAGTGGTTAAGACTTTGCCTTCGATGCAGGGGGTGTGGTTTGATTCCTGGTCAGGAACTAAGATCCCACATGCCTTGTGGCCAAAAAGGCCAAAACATAAAACAGAAGCAGTATTGTAACAGATTCAATAAAGACTTTAAAAATGGTCCACACCAAAAAAAAAAAAAAAACTTTTAAGAACTATAACTCTTTAGATGTAGTAGCTGTGTTTGTTTTTTTGAATCTCTTTATGCATATTTAGGTCAAGAAGAAAGAAAAAATGGGTAGTAGCTGCTAGAAAAGTATGAAACTGTTACAGTTTTACCAGTCATTACTAAAATGCAAAAATCTTTGCCTATTGTCTTTGTTTGATCTTTCATTTCGCCTATTTCCCTGTGTACATATGTGCAAAGAGAGTTGTTACCACATCAGTTCAGTTCAGTTCAGTCGCTCAGTCTTGTCTGACTCTTTGCGACCCCATGAATCACAGCACGCCAGGCCTCCCTGTCCATCACCAACTCCCGGAGTTTACTCAAACTCATGTCCATCGAGTCGATGATGCCACCCAGCCATCTCATCCTCTGTCATCCCCTTCTCCTCCTGTCCCCAATCCCTCCCAGCATCAGGGTCTTTTCCAGTGAGTCAACTCTTCGCATGAGGTGGCCAAAGTACTGGAGTTTCAGCTTCAGCATCAGTCCTTCCAGTGAACACCCAGGACTGATCTCCTTTAGGATGGACTGGTTGGATCTCCTTGCAGTCCATGGAACTCTCAAGAGTCTTCTCCGACACCACAGTTCAAATACAATCTTACCACATATGTTGCTGTTAATAACTATTAGTAATGATATGCTTTTGTGTGTTCTATAATTAGACTGACATTCATTGTGCATCTGCTTCTTGCCATACTTTGTGCTTATACTTCACAAGCATCATCTCATTTAATCCACACAACAACCCTGCAAGAGAGAACTGTTTCTGGGCATGATTTTCCAGAGTACAAAGTGGTTAAGTATCTTGTCCAACATCTTGGATTAAGCAGCAGAACTAGAACTGGAAGAGTATACTCTTAATCAATACAGACCAATAAGCTGCTCTGTCCTTAGACTTGGCTGAGGCTTCCTTTTAATGTTCATTTCTTCTACGGATACATTAATACATTTCAAGAAGGTTAAGAGCACCGTCCATACATTAATATATTTCAAAAAGGTTAAGAGCACCGTCCAAGGCAGCTAGATGATCCACATAACCAGAGCTGACCATGTTGGCCTCAGAGCTGATAGACTTACCAGCCAACCAGCCTTTTCCACAGCCTCAGCCACAATCCTCTGGTCCGCACCCCTGTAACCATCTCCTCAATGATTTCCCTGCCTTCCTTCTTGCCCTTTCAATCTACAGTGCATGAACCACTCAGCAGCCACTGGGCTCATCTTAATTAGAAACATAAATGTGTCACTCCCCCCTACTTGAAACTCTCTCATAGTTTCCCACTCTTATTTAGATTGAGTGTATTCCTGATCTGCTGCTGCTGCTAAGTCGCTTCAGTCGTGTCCGACTCTGCGACCCCGTAGACAGCAGCCCACCAGGCCCCTCTGTCCCTGGGATTCTCCAGGCAAGAATATTGGAGTGGGTTGCCATTTCCACTCCAACGCATGCATGCATGCTAAGTCGCTTCAGTCATGTCCGACTCTGTGCGACCCCATAGACAGCAGCCCACCGGGCTCCTCTGTCCCTGGGATTCTCCAGGCAAGAATACTGGAGTGGGTTGCTATCTCCTTCTCTGATCTAGCTGACCCATTAAAAAGTCACTGTGTTTCTGTTATATAACAAATGGAGTTCCAGTGAAAGCAGGGAGACCAGGTAGGAGCCTATTCCTGTGGCCCAGGTAGAGATGATAACAACTTGAATGGGGAGTGGCAGTAGATATAGAAATACATAGGATAGGGAACATCCCTGGCTGTCCATTGCAAGAGGCACAAGTTCAATCCCTAGTGGAGAAGCTGAGATCCCACGTGCCTTGCACCAAAACATAAAATAGAAACAATATTGCAACAGTTCAGTAAAGATTTTAAAAATGATCCACATTAAAAAAAAAATAGATGGGATATATTTTGAGAGGAAAAAAAATGTCAAAAAACTTTGCAAAGAAATGCATGTCTCTATGCCATGTTTGAAACTCTCATCAGAAGACTTTATAAAGATGGCTCTGGTTTCTCAAGAGCCTGGCATTCAGAACTAATTGAAATATTATACAAATATTATGCAAATGTATATTGACCACCTACCATACATCAAAAATTGTGCTAGGAATTTAGAATGGAGAATTTAGAAAAAAAGAAGTTTCCTTCCTTCAAGGAACTCACAATCCAGTAGAAACAATACATAGGAAAATAAAGAAATTATAGCAGTATGACCATTGTAACTACCAGCAGAATTATCTGCAGGGCCCAGGAGGTGATGGCATCAAGGTAATAGTACAAACTTAGGAAGAATATGAATTCTGACATAGGGATCGGGGAGAAGGTATTCCAGGTACCATAACATGTACAAAGGTAATGGGATGGGAAACTATGCTGTGGTCAGAGAGTAGAGATGCCATAAAATACAGAAGCTGAATTCAGAGAGCATAGACGAGCCAGATGCAGATGCTCTGTTTTGTCTCTGTAGGCTAAGGTTTCACCAAGTGTATTCTCACCACTGATGCGACACAGCAGCATTTATGATATACAGATAAGCATATAGTTAAAGAGTTACGTATTTTAATGTGTATTATGCAGTATAAGATTAGAATATCAATATAAACATGATATGACAGTTCCTTTCAAAATAAACTTATTCATGTTAAATAAGTTAAAGAAAAGCAAGTAAATTACATGATAGATGGACTGATTTGAAATAAATCATGGAAGTGCAGTGTGAGTGGCTGAAGCCTACATGTCTACAGGGGAGACTCAGTGAAAGTGTTTCCCTAGGGAAATCCATGCTAGAATGTGCAGATGGTAGGATCCGTCCTAAGGCCAGAAAGAGGATGCAAATCATTCTTGTCTGTGCTTGACTGTGACCCTCAAATGTGGCCTGGGACTGAAAGGCGGGAGGTGTTAGCAGAGTGAGGACCTTTGCAAGAGGTAAAAATCAGCTGCACTTGCAACTGAGGAATAAGCATGAGGACCCGGATGACTCTGGTCTGTGGCTTGAAAGTCTGAGTGCTTTGGCCACCAGCCACTCCCAGAAGCCCCTGAAATTTGTCAAACAGTGTACGTTTTCATTAGGTGCATTCTTCGTTACCTTCCAAAGCAGAAATTCTGTCTGATTGCAGGTGAAGTGGGGAGTTGGAAGTAGGCCAGCTGGCTTTTGATAGCAAGTAAAGCCAGTTTGGGAACTCGAAGATTTGGATGCATTTGAGTGTGACCAGGTCTCTCTTCCAGTCCAGTAGAGCCTGAAAAGCACCAACCTCCCTCCCTTAATCAGTGCCAGTTCAACATGTATCAGTCCACAAGGCAGAGGAAGGGGGTAATTCAGGAATCAGTAACAGTCCGTTACACTGATAATAGAATCTTGGAAGTGTGCCTTTGTAATTCTTAACCTTCCTTAATTTTTTTTCCTGTGTGAAGAATGATTTCCATCAACAGACGAGCATTTGGGAGAGGAGGGAGAGGTGTAGGGAGGACTTGCTACATCAGCTTGAAACTTCCTTTCTGTATCGTACCTTCATTTGCCAGAATCACAGCAAAAGCAAACAAGGGAAGTTTTTCCTGAGTTAAGACTTGAGAAGAGGTGAAAGAGTTGGAGTTGTAATATTTAGCACTATTCTTTTCTCTCTTGTGCAGCAGCAGGAGTTTCCCTACCTACAAGACTTTTAGCACATAAACAAATTAAGGTGTAGTGTAACATTTTCCAAGGTGCTTTCTGGAATCCGACAAGGATTTTAAGTCAGGTCTGATGATGGGCCACAGTGCTTTCTATAAGTGGAAGTAAATCCTGCCTTCTGTTCCTTATCCTCAACCACACCCCAGAATCTGCTTTCTGTTCCTGAGCCCTGTGAATTTCCTTGTCCATGAGCACCCAGCTTCATGGTAAAGCAAATTAACCAGTGCACTTGCTCAAGCTTAATGCACCTCTGGTCTTTTTCTTTTCTTTAGGTATTTATGGGCCATCGGTAAGAATGTCTGGAAGAGATGGAAGAAAAGATTCTTTGTCTTAGTGCAGGTAACTCTTCAACTCTACTATCAATCTTAAGAGCCATTATTTTTTTAAACATGTGATAGGGTTCATTAATGTTTTGGGGGTTCCCTGGTGGCTCAGACAGTAAAGATTCCATGTGCAATGTGGGAGACCTGGGTTCAGTCCCTGAGTTGGGAAAATCCCCTGGAGGAAGGCATTGCAACTCCGCTCCACTCCAGTATTCTTGCCTAGAGAATCCCTATGGACAGAGAAGCCTGGTGCGGGCTTTAGTTCATGGGGTTGCAGAGAGTCGGGCATGACTGAGGGACTAAGCACTTGAATGTTTTTTATATAATTTACCTTAAGTGCACAAAGCTCGAGTGTTTAACTCAGTGAGCTTCTATTTATTACATATCCATGCAGTCACCACGAGGGATACAGAACATTTCCAGTACCTAGATGGCTACTTTTCTTCCTTTTACATGACTTTAAAATTCTAAACATTAATACATGCTAATTATTTTTTAGTTCTAACAATACAGAAATATATATGAAAGGTGGTAACAGTAGCCCCTCATCCCTGCCAGCAATGCAAGGCCCAGGGAGAGAGCAAGCATGTGCCTGATTAGGGAAACAGGGACATTAACACTGTTTTACAAGAATCTGCTGTTTCTAAAAGCACTAAGATAGTCATTATGAGAAAGCCAGAATTAAGTTGGACTTTTTACATCTTTTTCTTTGTTTCATATTTTGATTGTGAATTATCTGTGGAAAAACATTCCAGTCTTACTGATTTCTGAGGCTTCCAGATCCCCAATAATTAAGATTACCTTTCTAAACATATCTTTCCACATAGATTTTTAAAAAAATTAACCAAACTGTTCATGCTGTTTATTAACATGTGTTTTTTTTGTTTTTGAACACAAATCATTGTAGACACTGTTTCATGAATGTGTGTATTGCTCAGATTCTAATACTTGTGGAGTTTTCCTTTTTGATGTCCTTTGGGCTTCTTCAGTTGGGACTCTTACTAACTGTGCAGCCAGTAACATGTCTGTATATATAGATGCAGGTGTAGGTACAGATATTGATACTAATAATACACTAGTAATATATAAATAACATCATTGCTCTCTTCTATGCTTCCTTAAGAAAAATATAATTCCAGAATAGTAACATGTATCCTTGAAAAAAATCTCTTCTTTTTTGTTCTTTTTGTTTTTGGTTTGTTTGCTTTTTGCATCAGGATTTTTCAATTTACAAAGGAATTTTCCATTACCTCTTTTTAAGTTGTAAGCTCCACCAGAGCATGTAAACTATAATCCATTTTGCCAACATTAATTTATGCTGTACTTTGAAACATGTCATAAATTGAGTCAACTTGTAATTTAATTTTAAGTGACTAAAGGTGTTTCTGGGTTACTGTGTTGGCTGTGGGGCTTCCCTGGTAGCTCAGCTGGTATAGAATCACCTGCCATACAGGAGACCCTGGTTCAATTCCTGAGTTGGAAAGATCCCCTAGAGAAGGTAATGGCTACCCACTCTAGAATTCTGGCCTAGAGAATTCCGTGGACAGAGGATCCTGGCGGACTATAGTCCTTGAGGTTGCAAAGAGCCTTGACTAGTATTTTGGGCTCTACCAATTAGGAAATCTCACAGTAAAGCAGCTTCCCCTTAGTCTAAATGGCCCTGAAAGTTCTACCAGCCCTGAGCTTCTAAGGCTAGACCTTCTATGGATCTACCCAGGCTTCTGCTGAGCCTCTGAGGCAGACTTCGTCTCTCTAGCTGTAAGCAAGACATGATCTTTGCTTTCATGATTGCTATAGGATACAACAAAACCTCAAAATAAATTAACCAAAGGAAAACTTTGGAATTTTTCCCACCCTTTCAAATGAGCCACGTCTAAGTGATAGAAGACATTTAATCCTGTAGTACATTTCCTCGGAATATCAGCTAACCAACATTTATCCAGTACCTATTTTGATTAAGGCGCATTGATAGATCATAGAGAAGAACCTGGAGACCTAGTCCATACTTCCAGAAGAGTATCTCTTAGAGTTCCTCATAAGCAGACAGCAGAAACAGATGCAAGGCAATCATGATTTTTAAAAATGTGTTTTGGAAGGCTTTTGTGGTAGTTGATATGATTGTTGCAAAAGCTACTTCCCAGAGGAGTTCCAGAAATTCAGGCGGTAGGAACCGTGGCCAGTGTCATTGATGTGGCTGTAGGACAGAATCAGCTCTGACCATTTTCTATCCTCGCATCTCCACTCAAGGGTCAGATTTGAGACAGGGGACTGGGTCAGTCCAGCTTGTGTCACACACCCAACTTTTCACAGGGCAGGCCATGGCACTTTGACTCACAGAGCTGTCTCCAGTGCAGAGTCAGGGTGCCGTTACCAGACACAGAAGTGAATGCTGAGCAGGCACAAGCAGGTGATGTCTACTCTAAAGAGAGCATGTAGGTTGAGAGAACAGACGTCAAAAGAAGTAGTGCTGGATTATGGGTGATTTTCCCCTTTTGTGCCTGCCACTGGGCAGATCAGCCCCCTAGAATCACTCGTGAGTCTGGCCTCCCGCATAGACAGTAAGCTGCCTCAGGGTCAGTTCTGTTTCTGATTCCTCTAGCTGTCCTTCCCTCCCCTCAGCTCCAGCACACACCCTGTCCTGCTCAGAATCTGGCATGCTTATTCAGGAAGTGTTTGGTGGAAGAAAAAAGAAAAAGGAGCAGAGAGAAAGAGCCCAGGCAGTGCTTCAGGTGGTTCTGAGAAAGGAAAGGTCATGTGGCCTGGAGAGTGGCTGGTGACACCTTCTCAGGGGAAGTGGGACAAGTGGCCTAGTCATGTGATACAAAGTCTCGTCTCCCACTGTGGTGGCCGGTTACTGGACACAAGACTTTCCTCTGATAATCTTTGAAATGACAGAGTGCTTAGGAGATGTGGCTGATCTCTTACTTCGGGAGAGATTTCACTCTTCAGGAAAAAAAAGTAATTGTGCTGAAAATGCAAATGAAGCTGTGTCTATACAATATGTACTGAACCCAAAAGAAGAGAATGATTGTTGTAAGCAATGCAACTGGAACACAGACATTTTAGGGCTTTCACACCAAGCCTTCCACCAAAAGAAGATAAGAATCACCCAGTAGCTACAAAGCAAGCTCTGAACTCCCTTCTGAAAATCATGAAAGGGCATCGGAGGCCCGCCTAAAGCTCAGCATCTTTCCTACAAGGATTTCGTGAGATGTTTCATGTACACGTGATCCTCATTCACTTTAAAGAGCCCTTGTGGTACATTTGGTACAGGGATCCCCCAAACTAAACCTTCTCTTTCAGTGTAAACCCAGTGCCTCCCTTAACACCTTCTGTGGCTTACAAAGGTAAGCCTTGCCATCACCGAGGTAATGGGAGAGCCAGGAGGAGAGCTCAGATTTTGTTGATATCTTTGTCCTGTCCACTACAACAATGTCCAAAGCAGCTTTAGTGGCCTGCCTGAAAAATACTGCATCACTTTTGGATTCCGCTCATATTTTCATCTCTGCTGTTTAGATGATCACACTTATAGGCACTCTATGAAAATGATAAACAAAAACTTAAGCACTTTGTATCAATGCCAATGCCAACAGAACTGCAAGAGAGAAGTTCAAGGCCCCAAATCCTGGCCCAATTCAGGGAAACCAAAAATACCCCAAGTTGCTTGAAGAGAAAGATGGTGGTCTAAGTGGTGACCATTGGCGCCGGGCAGCTGCATGTGGTGTGGAATCCAGTCTAACAGACAGATGATTTTGAGTTTCTTTTCAGCCACCACACTGTTCCACTGACACTCAACATGCAAAAGTAAAAACAGGAGAACCTGGACTTCCTGGTGGTCCAGTGGTTAAGACTCCATGCTTCCTCTGCAGAGTCTCTGGTTCCATCCCTCCTTGGGGAGCTAAGATCCCACATGTGTGTGATGCGACCAAGAACAAACAGGAGATCCGGTCTGATCAAATCTGGGGATGGCTGAGGGAGCCAGGGAAGGAAGCAGATCCCCCCAGCCTGTCCTGCCCTGACTCCCCAGCAGCCTCAGAGGGGTCTCTGGACATGAAGCCTCCACTCGGGAAGCACAGCTACCTACGTGACTCAATGAGTGTTTGTTTCCTCTCCATGCAGACAGAGTGTTTTTTAATAGAGACTTGGTGATGCATAATTTCCAACAGGATCGTGAGTTCCATTAGATTTAATACAAGGAAAATTGTTTGGAAAGCCTAAAGAGAGAACACATCCAACACCAGTCTCCTCAGAGTCCATCTCCTCTCCCACTCCAGCTGTCTGTCTGTCTCTCTCTCTCTCTCTCTCGCACACATACACGCACGTGGTCTCCTTTTTTGTCCATAATGCAGAATTTTTGCATTCTGTCTTAGTGAGATTTCCTTTTAGAGCTAAGCTACTACCTTGGGAACACAAAAATAGCTTATAAATGGACTTCCTACTAACCAGGGACAAAGGCCACCCTTTGAGGAGTGTTGAGCCAAAGCAACAACTCCCATGTTTGAGGATCAAGGCTAAAATGATGGTGAGTGTGACTGGAGCCTGCACCCCCAGCCCTGATGGGAATGAAGCCGTTGCAGGGGGCTTCTGTGACAGCGACTTCAGTGTTGCTCCACCGTGTTTTCCGGTTACGGACCTGGACTGCCTGGACTGCGTGTTGTTTAAAATGCAGATTCGGGAGACATGCAGAAGCCTCTGACACAGAGAAGACTCTGAGAGGGAGCTCAGGAACCTGTGTCCTTGACATGCAGCCCAGGAGGTGCTGGCGCAGGGTGTCCAGAGACCACCTGTGAAGAAACACTGCTCAAAAGTCATTGTCCCTGTTAAACCAAGCCTCTCATTCCTTGTAGACTGTGCTCTCTCAGAGTGTATGTTCTCCAAGAAAATGAGCATCAGAGTAACTGCCTGGCCCATGGTCAGGACCAAGCACGTTGATTACCATTGTCAGGAGCTGTGACCAGACCACTGCTAAAGATGAACATTAGCTCCAATTTTGAGCTTCCCATCTTGGGTTGGAAGGGGAGGAGTGGACGCAGCCATTTCCTCATCCATATCAGATTAGAAAGCATCTGATCACCTCTAGCATCTTCTTATTTTAAAATATTTTTCTTCCATGCCCCAGTGATCTCTTGTTAAAATCAGTTTTTAACTGGTCTTCAGCCAAATTATTTCTGAGATACTTGTCCCCTTTTAGCACCTTTCTATGATTTCTCTAATAATGCTAATAATTCTATTTTACGGCCTCTCGGAGTTTACAAGGTGTTCATCAAGCTGGCCTTCACAATATTTCTGTACTGCAGTGAGGACCGATCTTAGCCCCACCACCACCCACGTTCCACATGGGAGGAGACAGAAGCTGAGGCTGCTTACATGACCCGCCCGGAGCAGCAGCTCATAGCCAGCCAGTGTGCAGCCTCACATGGGCCTTCTGATTGCAGGTGTCTTCCATGACGCCACACTCTCAGAGGAAACTGTGCAGATACAGCGGCCCATAGCTCTGTCCCTTGCATCAGTTAGAGCCAATGTAGTCCCGAAATAATACCTTGTCTCTGATTCCCTAGAGATGATATGAAAGTGAAGTGGAAGTTTTAGTCGCTCAATTGTGTCTGACTGTTTACAACCCCATGGACTTAGCCTGCCAGGCCCCTCTGTCCATGGGATTTCCCAGGCAAAAATAGTGAAGTGGGTTGCCATTTCCTTATCCAGGGGATCTTCCCAACCCCGGGATTGAATCCAGGTCTACTGCATCGCAGGCAGATTCTTTGCTACCTGAGCCACCAGGGAAGCCCTGAGAAAATATAGGAATAATATAACATCCCTAAATTCTGACCATTCCAACTTTCTAAAAATCTAGATCTGAATAAGCTAGCATATTGCCTGATAATGTAAAACACCTCATAACACAATAGTTACCATCCAGAAATCAATATTAAGTTAACCATGAAAGTGAATTGTAAGACATGGAGTATGTGAATGATTTATTGCTGAATGAATGTTCATTCTTCCCACTCAACTTCACAAGTGCCCTGAAAGACGTTTATATTTATATTCTGTAAACAACAATCATCAACCTGAATTAGCTTAAGTTTTAGAAGAATTATATTGGTTAGTTATTAAATTACTAACTAGCTGGAGTTTTTCTGGCATAGCTGGGTCCAGAGCTTAAACAAAGTCACCAAGACTCAGTCTCTCTATCTGAACCATTTCTTTGCTTTTTTCCTGTTATCTTTTAATTTATCCCTACTATTTTATCAAGAACATTTTCAAACGTACAAAGAAATTGAAAGAATTTTACAGTGAAAACCTCTAAAAGCACTGATTAAATTCTTCCATTAGCATTTTACTGCACTTATTCCATTACGAATCTTTTTTTAATTACAAATCTCTTACCTATTCATGTATCATCCATTCATCCATACATGCACTGATTTTGGAGCAGCGTCATTGCTTCTAGAGCCTCTTGACCATGCTTTCCCCTAAACTGGCTTCATTCTCGAGGAGCCTCTGCATGCAGCAAACTCCAGCAGGTCAGGGATTGCAAGACTTCATGGTTGTTCAGTCGCTGAGTTATGTCTGACGCTTTCCGTCTCCATGGATTGTAGCATGCCAGGCTTCCCTGTCCTCCACTATCTCCCAGAGTTTGCTCAAATTCATGTCCATTGTGTCACTGATGCCCATCTAACCGTCTCATCCTCTACTGTTCCCGTCTCCTTTTGCCTCCTTTTACAACAGTTTAGCAAGTCCCAAACACTTGCTGTTCCCTCACACTTGAAGAGCTCTAGAAAATCTGAGGTTCCTTGCAATGATTAGAAATATTCAAAAATAAATCATTCCTTCGTTCCTCCTTTTTTTTTTTTCCTAAAGTAAGTTGCCAAATTCCTTATTAAAATGGTCCTGATAAGCCAGTTTCTTTGCGCCCAAAATTTGTCTGGAACAACTTCGACAGTATTACCAGAAGGGGGCAGCAGCGTACAGCTCTCCAAGAAGCAAGGCTCTAAGTAGAAGTCAGAAAGCCCCAAGCTGTAGTAATAGTAAGTGCCCGAACCTTGAGGTAGCACCTTTCTGTTGTGCTGTTTCACCGATCTCAGATAAACGTCCCCAACCCTCTGTCTGGCTAATCATCACATTAACGTGCTATAAAATGTCCAGGGTACCAGAGAAGTAAAGAATATCATTGCAGAGCAATTTCAGCAGTATCTGTTTACTCTTGGATATGGAGAATCAGTTGTCTCTGGGATCAGTAATGAACTGGAGTAACATATGTAAATCTGGAAGGGGGGAAGCCTCTCTATTAGATGATAATACTCATTTTTCAGGAATCAATCAAACTCAATTGGTGAATGCCCATCTCATCGTAGATTTTGCTCATGGCAAGGGGAATATAATGAAGATGTATGATTCTCTAGGCATGCCTTGAAAGGACTTATAATCTGGCAGGCAGATACACCTGCTCAGCTACTTTGTAGGAGAAAGTAGTGCCAAATGCAAGGAAACTGCTTGCATAAATGCATATATTGAGTATTTGCCAGGTGAATATCACACACAATGTAAAAAACCCTTCACCACTCAGTTTATTCTTCGGCCACAATAAGACAGGTAAAATACAGATAAAGACTCTGAGTTACATGTATGAGAACCTAGGAGAGCTGGGATGAGGTCCCAGGCCTGTGTGACCCCTATGCAAAGCTTCCATTCTTAATCCTCCTTTTTAGAAGAAGATGCTTAATGCAAAGCATAATACATGTCCACTTAGGAACATACTCTTAGCGGCTTTATGTTTCCCTTGAAGCCCATCAAGACCCTGCAGTATAAGGAACAGATTCTGTAAACTATAAGCACAGTAAAGAAATCCAAGTCAGGCAGAAAGTTTTCATCAGGAACCAACAGAGGGCAGCAAGAGATAAACCAACCAGTGAAACATTCTCCTGAGGACTCCTGTTATCTTACCGCTGGGACCTTCAGGCCAGGGACTGGTGGGAGATATATGCAGGGTTTGAGAGCTCTAATTTCTTACCATTTAAAAAAAGGACAAATCTGACCCATGGAGGAGATAAAAAAAATATCCCCTGCCGGGATCAAAGTTCACTTAGTAAATGTCTGTTTTAATAAAGGGAACTAAGAGATGAGGGATGTGGCACTCCTCCAAGACATTTGACATCCATGGATGGCAAATATGCCCCTGAGCTTTTAGCCTGAAGCCTGAAGGATGCTTGCTCTTCCCTGGGCTCCTTGCAGACAGGCTGGATGCAGAAACGCTCAGTATCCATGCTGGGTCTGGATGCACTGTGGCGCGACAGGATCCTGAAGGCCGGCCTGCAGCAGTGGAGCATGCACCCAGCACTGACGTGGGCGGAGGCTGGTGAGGGACAGGGGCTGAGGGTGGCTCTCCTGTGCCTGGCGCCTAGAGATCAAGCGCTCATTGCTTCTGACAGCATGTCACTCCTGCACTTGTCTGAGATGAAGGGGAAGACTTTTCAAAGCGACCAAAGGCACTCCTTCTGTGGGAAGGGCAAGGAAGAAATGAGATGTGTGGCTCAGTGCAGAGAATTGACCTGCAAAACGTAAAATACTAAAAGAAATGGAGGTGGGTGTAAATAAGAAACTAGTCCCTAACTTACGACTGAAAGACCTGTGTCGAGTCTGAGAGCATGACAGCCTCAGCCAGAGCCAGGGCCAAAGTCATAGTAGGTAAAAGCTATAAAATTGCTGCTATGCAACCAGTTTTGACCTACCCAAATGTGAATTTCATGTAGCTTAGCCAATTAAAATATAGCAGTAATGATAATAGCTAACTTTTCTCAGGCACTTCCTAAGCATCAGGGAAAGATTTGAAATGCATTTCACATATGAACTCATTCAGTCTACATAATAAGCCAGCGACAAAGTAGTTTCTCAGATTATATCCATCTATAGGTGAGGTATCAGGACCAGAGAAGTCTCTTAACTTGCTCCAAGTCACACAGCCAGGATATGGAAAAATGCAATCTGAGCCCAGCTCCGGAGTGCAGGGCCTCAGGGGAAAGGACAGGCTTAAAAGGGGAAGGTTTATTCAAGGAAGACAGGCTCTAGGGAATCAACCTCACACGTCTCTGCTTCTCCTTTTCAGGTGAGTCAGTACACGTTTGCCATGTGCAGTTACCGGGAGAAAAAAGCCGAGCCTCAGGAACTTCTCCAACTGGACGGCTACACCGTGGATTACACGGACCCCCAACCAGGTACCTGCCCACCTTCTAGGCCATGAACCCACAAAACTCTCTCCCTTCCCTCCATGTTGGACATTAACTGAGCCAAGTTACTAGGGCGCCACAGCCACAGTTCACCATCCCCTGGAGGTTCTGTCCTGAATGAAGAAGTGCCGATTTCAGTCCGGGGCTTTGTTTTGACTCAGGGGATCCTCATAAAACCAAAATGAAAATTTAGTACGTTTTTCTTTGATGTAGCTGTGCCCACCTCAAATTTTAATTCCACCCTAGAATGTTCAATAGAAATCCTGAAAAAGAAGTCCTACATGTGCTCCTATGACTCGTGTGTGTGTGTGTGTGTGTCTGTGTCTGTGTCTGTGTCTGTGTCTGTGTCTGATTCACCAGTCGTGTGTGCTTGGCAGGCATCGTGTCTCTGTCCAGGTAAGCCTGCCCTATAGGTCCACATTTGCTAAGTACAAGTCATAGTTATCTGATAGTACTTGAAAAGAAAGTCTTCTCTAAACCTTTTTTTTTCCTCCTAAAAAGACACCAGTCCGCAGCGTAGACATCTAAACTCCTCAGCCTTATGTAACTAAGAGAACCACACAAATGGTAGTATTTCTCAGAAGTTCTATATTGCATAAGTTCCACATCCTGCCCTCTCACACCTCTCTCCAAACCCATGTTATCTTTTTCCCAGAAAGAAAAAAAAAATGAATAGAAATCTGCCTCAAGGAACCTTCAAAATGGGGGGGGGGGTGCGAAATCATTTCAGCATATTAATGAGCAACAGGCACCAACAGCCCTCTCCCAGAGAAGTTTATTTTTATGCCAAATCTGCACAAGGAAAGCATTTCCAACCATACTGCATTATTTGGCCCAAAACCTTTTTTTCTACTCCCATATTGCTCTTCCACATGCAACAAAATACACATAAAGGAAAAACAGAGTCTGAAAGAAGATGGGGCGTTAACCTGAAAAGGTGTAACTGGGAAGACCTCTGGCCCAGTTCACTTGGGAAAATTATCATCTCAGTGGGCATCAGAATTGCCACTCCCGAGTGCTTTGGATCAGACCTGCCCCCTCAGACCTCCGTAGATAATTCGCGTCCTGCCAGAGCACGATACGGAGTTGACCATGTAAGATGTGTCAGGACTTTAAAGGCTCGTCCTGGAAATCCCTCCTCATGAACAGGACCTCGGAATCTGAGCCAGTTTCATGCAACAGCTTGAGCAAAGGATGTGGCCTCTGTATTAAGAAACGAACCCTCGTGGCATTCTGCAGTGGTTTCTTCTGAAATCACGGCATGCCCTTCAGAGAAATAGTCCTTCTTTCCCAAGACCTCCACTTTAAAGTGGGAAACTCAGGGACCAATATGAGAAGGAAAAACAGCACTGTCTTGTGACACTACCTCCTTTTAAGCCAGTTCCCTTTTCCTTTCCTCTACATGATAGCATTTGGATTTCACTGCAGTCCACCAAGTACATAGGACCAGAATTATCATCTCATTTTGTAAAGCAGGAGGCAGCGCTGGGACTTGAGGTCTAACGCGTCTCACCCTTTGGCACCTGCAGTAAAACATAGCTGTGTGTGCAGCTATAGTGAAGCTCGAGTTGTTATCTTCTTGTACGGACGCAAGCGGACCTCTCTACAGCGGGGAGATGGCCCTTCCATCTACATGCAAAAGGAGTAGCTGTGCACGTACATTATAAAAGCTCCTCTTCTTTTTCCTCACATTGATCCCCTGGGATATAATTTATAAATTCCTTTACCAAGGATGTAAATGGAAACCAAAGTGATTATGTTCTTGAGAATAATAAGCAGAGTCTTCTCTGCCTTTCTGTGTGCCAAGTCCTAGTTATTTTCAAAGCAACGTTTGATTGAAAATGGAGATTCAGATACTCCCAATTGTCATGGGAAAAACCTAACCTAGAATTTTTTAAAGAGTGATTGTGAAAAATAATAGTTCCTGAACCCTAGACCTAACCAAGAACCAGAATCCTCCTGTTCATATAAGCACTCTGGGGACTTCCCTGGTGTCCGGTAGTTAAGACTTCGCCTTTCAGTGCACATTTGATCCCTGGTCAGGGAGCTAAGGTGCCACATGCCTTCCTGCCCCTGAGAAAAAAAGAACATCAGAAGCGATGTTGTAACAAATTCAACAAAGATTTTAAAAATGGCCCACATCAGTCACTTACTAAATAATAAATAAATAAGCACTCTAGGAGATTCTTTTGGACAGTAAAGTTTGCCAGCTGTGATTAATACACAATTTGGCCAGTGTCCTCAGAGATTTGAGAAGGCTTCCCCTACTGCTGCCTGAAAGGTGAGTGTGCACGTGAAGCAGGACCTCTGGGTCCATCTGTCCTTCTCCTCTTGGCTTTATTCTGGTTGTCAGTGGAACCAACTGGTAGAGATGGGGCAGATAGCCTCATAGCATAGACATCCTTGCCTTTGTACCAGCCTGGGATGCAGCAGTCACCCAGATACAAGCTTTGGCTCTAAATCAACTATTCCAGTATAGGGTCTTTGAAAGGTTTGTTTGGGGAATTTGTAAATAACTAAGTAGTTTTTACATTTAGGCTCTTCATTTTAATCTAAAGATGAAACTTCTTCCCTTTATCTTTCCCTGGGTATGGTTCAAAGAGTATGCAACAATCTCTCAGTTCCTATCAGATTAAATAAGGAAGTCTTCAAATAAAAGGATAGTCATTTGGAATAATTCAGTGGCACAATTTCAATGACTAAATTAAATCTTCAACAACTTTACCACCCTAAATAGACTATGTCCATGTGTGTGGTTGAAACAGCTATCCCCGGCCAGGGAACAGGCCAGCATTCCTTGCCTGGGCTGCCTCCATCTATTCCCAGACATGTCCTCTTGTTCCTGAAGGTCAGTCCCTTTGGGGTGTTCCATGGAGAGCCCAGACATTATCATACGTTGCATTTTGCAGATTCTGTCCCCAGGACCTGCTGCCTTGCTTAAGAATGCTGCCTGGGAGCACACGGTGGTGTTCGTGTCGTCTTCTCTTCTTTGGTTTTCTTTGAGCTGGTTGCTTGCTTTCTCCTCATCCTCATTGGTGTGCCCTTGGTCTCCCAGGCTTTCTGGAAGAGCTCTGTTGCTCTTCACTGCTGTCACTGTCGTTGCTTCTCCTGCTTTACAGGTTTCTCTTGGCCTCATCCCCCGCTGGTTAGGCTCCACTCTGTTGTCAGTAACTCTGAGAGCAGTTGCTGCACGCCAGGTGTGCTGACCGGGTCCTGCAGTGGTCCGGGACTGTGCTTGTAATCGTCAGCTCTGGAGTCAGACAGCTGGGGTCAGAAGCCCAGCTCCGATCCTCACAGCTCCACTTTGTGTTCGTGGGATAGTTAGCTCCTCCTCTCTGACCCAGTTTCCACGTTTATACAATAAGGACACTAATGTACATTCTCTACAGGCTTCCCGGATACTGCAGTGGTAAGAATCTGCCTGCCGCTGTGGGAGATGAAGGAGATGTGGGTTCGATCCCTGGGTCGGGAAGATCCCCTGGAGCAGGAAATGGCAACCCACTCCAGTATTCTTGCCTGGGAAATTCCATGGGCAGAGAAGCCTGGCGGGCTATACTCCATGGGGTCGCAACGAGTCAGACACGACTGAGCGACTGAGTACATGGGCACATGTACACACTTCGTAAGGCCGTTGGGAGGAATCCATAAAGATCTCAACACTTCCTAACATCTTTGCACCTTTACCTCTCTCCTTCCTGAGTCAGCGCCATGAAAGGACTTTCTGACAGTAGCTCCAAGAACGCAATGTCCCTATTCTGAGCTTCAGGCCCTGGCAAATGCGAGGTGGTGGGGCAGGGGAAAGGTCCCGTCCAGTGGTGGCTGGCCTGGAGTTCCCCTGCACTATCACAGTACTGTATCCCAGGGGTTACCGTGAGACTAGACTGCAGAAGCTCTACTGAACCCATTCTTTTCTTTTAGCTCCTTGGTACCCACTTTTCAGAGCTTAAAGCATTCCTCAAAGTTCTTCTTCCTCTCTCTCTCTCTCTCTCTCTCTGAAGAATTTTCCTTCTTATGGTTCTGTCTATCCATTTCATCAGGTTTTTCCAGCTTGCTCACTGTACACCATCCTATCCACATCACACATTTTAAAGCTCTTTGTAAGAAAAGAACCAAAATATTGCTTCATAATCACAACCACAAAAAATATTTTATTGAAATTGCTATACCCCTCAACTCTTCATATAAAAAAGATGCTCTTTATTGTTCTATAATCCCTGGCAATTCTAAGTGCAAAATTATTAACACACACCCGTTCTTATGAAGTAGACATTTGAATTAATATTGTCGGCACAATAGATAAGTCTTAACATCACCAGCAATCTTTCCCAAGGCAAATGTCAAATGGGTTGGCAATTGGGCCCTGTTGGTTTCGGGATTCTAACTATTCCACTTACTCCCCTTTCACCTTTAAAGAGATAGTTGGAGGGTAGAGAAATGATGAGGAAACTGGTGAAGATGTGAAGCTTTGTTTATGGACAGAGAGTCCCAGTCACCCCAAAAATATGGGCTTTTGAAATATGTTGACAGACACAATGTAGCTCTGGCCTGAGCCCAGAGATAGGCTTCTTTTGCCCACTTCTCTCTAAATTTTAACCTAGAGAACTGCTTATGGGACAGAATGGGTCTGCAGAGCATTCATTCATCCAACTTGTATTTGTTGATCACTCGCTGTCTGCCAGGCATAGTGCTGGGTACCAGGATGCAGCAATGAACAAAAGAGACAAAAACTCCGTGCCTTTAGGAAGTTAATTTTATAATTTTTTTGAGGTGGTAAGAGCTTTGGAGCAAAAGAATGCAAGAGAAGAGAGGTGAGTAAGGAGAGGTAACAGTCAGGGAAGGCCTGAACAAGCATGTGATGTCTGAGCAAAGACATGAAAGAGGTGAGGCTGTGACTCATGAGAATAACTGGAGGAAGAGCCCTAGGCACAGGCAGTAGCTCTGTGCAAAGACCCTGAGGCAGAATGCACCTGGAGTGTTCAGGGAGCAGCAAGAGGCCAGCATGGCTGCGTGAACGGGGTGCATACTTGTGCACATGGTAAGAGAGGCAGGCGGAAGTAGTGGGGGGTCAGTTCACGTGGGGTCTGGCAGGCCTTGTCAGAACCTAGTCTTCTCCTCTAAGTGAAATGCAGAGCTGCTGGTAGGTTTTGAGCAGAGAGGTGGCACAACCTGACTCTTGTGCTAAACCAATTACCCTGGCTCCCATCTGGAGGGTCAAGAATAGAGAGTGCGGGTGGAGGCAGATGGATCAGTTAGGAGGCTACTAGAATAATCCAGGTGAGAGATGAATGTGGGTGAATTCAGAGTGGCAGCCCTGGAGAAGGAAGAAGAGATCAAATTCTGTTGTAATGTCCTGAAAGTAGAGCCTTCAGAATTTCTTTGGAATAGGCAGCAAGAGAAAAATCAGGAGTCCGAAAGGTCCCTGAGGTTGTGGACTTGAGAGGTGGGGTCAGGAGGCATTTCTGTTGTCGTTGTTTGGCTTGTTTTTAAAAATGAGAAAAGTAATGGTATGTTTATAGACGAATAATTACCCTGCCATTAGGCAGTTCAGTTGACAACTCTGTCTCCAATAAAACAAAGGTGGCAGGAGACAACAGCCAGGCTCAAAATGCCTCTTGGACATCATCGTATCAGACTTGCTATCCTATAGTTAGATAAAGAGATGCACCTCTTTTCTCCAGCCCAAGGAAAAGCATAGACACTGCCACTCAGAGCTTAGTCCTGCTGAAAACATTGCAGCTCAACTTAATAGTCTTTCTTCCCTTTTAACCCAGGTTTGGAGGGTGGCCGAGCCTTCTTCAATGCAGTCAAAGAAGGAGACACCGTGATATTTGCAAGTGATGATGAGCAAGATCGCATTCTCTGGGTCCAGGCCATGTATCGGGCCACAGGGCAGTCACACAAGCCTGTGCCCCCAACCCAAGTCCAGAAACTAAATGCCAAGGGAGGGAATGTGCCTCAGCTGGATGCCCCTATCTCCCAATTTTGTAAGTAAATATGCCATTTGTTAAAACTAGTTCTGTAGAGTAAAGTCAGTCTTCTAAGGTTGAATTAGAAAATCTAGTTGCTTTCATATTAAGGATGCTCAAAATCATGTTTGCCTAAAAAAAAAAAAGTTAATTCAAAGGGGGAGAGTTGGGACAAAAATGTTAGATAAAAGTAATTTTAAAGTGCAATACTTGACAATCCCCTCCTCCAGGACTAAACAAAGAAAAATATATTTCAGGTGAATTTTTCCCTCTTTGTTTTGATGAGAGTTTAGAATTCACAGCCAAACAGGTATTTGTTTGAGTCTTTCAAATATAGTAGGTTATGTATGTCCTTGCCTCATTTCTTCCTATCAAAAGTAACTTTAAAATAGAGCTTAATTTGAAATAAATTTTAATATGCAACTTAGAACCATTTAAAAATAAATGATGACATTATCACATGCAGTAGGGGAGGATGGGGGGACACAGGAACACACACAAGAAAATAACACAGTATCTAAAATCCCATTCTGAGCTAAAATACCAGAACCCAGAAATGAAACCATCTCCTTAAACAGTCCCAGTTCATATTCCAGTCTCTTCCTCTCTATAGGTTTAGCATTAGTTTTAATTTCTTGCCCTTTCACCATGCTGTCTTGCTACCAAGATAGTTTTGATGTTGGGACAAGTTGGATGCACAGGGTAAGATGAAAGACAGCGTGCTCTTGCAGGTATTTATTGAAACAAATAAAATGGAAACACTGGAAACATAAAGCACCAGATTCATTTCAGTTACAAGCATTCACCCTAAGTAAAGATGTCTGCCATACCCTGAATACAGGTCAATTAGGAATAGATAGGTACACGTCAGTTTTTAGCAGTAATCATGGTGAGTCTTGTCTTTAGCATGGCACTTCCTCATTCGGTGTAGTTCACTGAGCAATCGTCTAGGTGATGAGATATGTTGATGAGGAAGACAAGGAGATACCTGTTTTTAGGATACCTCCAGCCCAGTGGGGAAGTCTAGACAGTAAACCAAGTAAAAAAAAAAAATAGTAAGATAGTTTCACACACTGAGAAACACCATAAAGAACGTCATGCATTGGTGAGAGAGTGGAGAGAGGAAATATAACACAGATGATCTGAGCTTAAGCCCAAATGATAGGAAGTTACCCCCATAGACATCTGTGGGAAAAGAATCGCAACAAAAGGGAAAGCAAGTGTGAAAATCCCTCATCGGAAACCTGACCTTGAACCCAGGGCTTTCATACAGTCTCCCCTCAGTTATTCTTAAAACATGGACCACATAATTCTGTCGCTATAGCAACTAAGTAGAGGTAATTCCCTCCTGATGAATTCCACTTCCATGTCTGTTTTTTATTTAACCAGACTGTGTTCTTAAATCTTGTTACACCTTTGCTGGTGGGGAAACATTCTTGTTGATGACAGATACTACCCATCAGGTGCTGCCAGGGATTCTTGTCCTATACTGATGGTTTTTTAAAAGGAAGATGCTTTCCCTTTGGGACAGTGTAAATAATCACACAATCATGCGGGTTTCCACACAGAAAACCCTAAACAAATAAGAAGTCGAGGAAGGGCTCAGGGAGGAGGGATAGCCCTTCTGATCATGACCTCCACCAAGTTTCCTACTCTTTTTTCCTGTAACATTTGTGACACTTAACTTTATCTGAGAGCAAAAAGAAAAGAAGCATCTCTTTGTAAATGGTTTAGTCATTAGTTGAAATAAAACATCCCCAATATTAACTTAATTATAAAAATTCCTCTGTAATAGAAGCCCTTCTTTCACCTGGCCTGACAGACTCCTTATAAATGAATCTTGAAACAACACATCATATCATATCCCTCTGAGATGGAATTATCTGTGTATGAGGAAACAGAAATGCCTAATTATGATCACCATCTAAATCAACCTCATAAAACATGTATCACAGGTGATATTTGGAAAATCTTGGTTTTATTTCCAAATACTTTCCATTTCTTCTGAAGTCATTTCACCTTACATTCAGTGTCTCTGTTCTGTTGTCTCCCCAGATTAAGAACCTAGTACTTGGTTCGTGATCAGTCCACTTTTTTCTCTCTAGTATAGGAAAGAGAATGGAAATTCAGGGGTAAAATGAAATGGAGACCAGACACAGATTCTATAAAAGTGATGACTGAAAGAGGCTGTTGAAGGGGATGCATGCCTCTTCATGGAAATACACTAGGGCTCTTGATTTAGAGTTTCCTCTGTGGGTAGGATTCATTTAGCTATGAAATTAGAATCTGGTCAGTAGGCATCAGCTAGAAGATTTGTTTGCATACACGCAAGGTTGATGTATGTTACTATCCTAGTTGACAGAGGAAGCTTTTATTAAATAGAACATCCAAAGCAGAATTCTGAGAGTTAAAATTTGGGGATGAGGATAAGTAGTATCATCCCTCGAGAGCATGTGAGGCAGGCTGGGAGGTGAGTGAAAAGGTCAGGGATGTCATGCACCAGGGATTTATCAGTACCTGCTGCCAGACCCACTCCCTTCTCTATTACCTCCTCATCGCTGCCTGGGAACAGAAGGTCTCTAGAGAATATGAGGTGTACCCCCATACCAGGCTCTGTAAGAAGGAGGCCACTGCTTTCAGCCATGCAGATTGTGCCCTTCAGGAGGCTCTCTTCCCCTAGATAAAAATGTGAACGGTGCCTCTCGAGTTGTGCAGCGCCCGCTTTGCACAACCGTATGCTTCTGACCCCGCAGTCAATGACGCTCCTTAATGGATCTTCAACCCACTAGCGTTAAACCCAGTAATCCCGTGGTTACTTTACTACCCCTGAAAAAGAGCCTTAACTACTCCAGACTTTTGTCTATTGCTAGTGCAGGCACTTAATGAAAACTGTGGCCAGAGTACCAGAAAGTGAGGCTCTGTTCCCATACTTTAGAAACTAGCATCGTAATCTAGTCAGGATTTAACCCACCCAAACTTCTGTATCTGATCCCCAGTCACTTACAGTCAAGTATAAAACCCACAAGAAAGATCCAGACGGGATCCAAGAATTTTGCATTCTGTGGTGTCAGTGAGTAGTTGTGCGAAACAACCCAAAAATTGCCGAGAGTGGGGGATATATCATATTGAGCGGAGTCTGCCGTAGAGTGAAGTTATGTAATGGTTATTGCAAAGCTGAATTTAAACCTTTATATTCAAACCCTCACTATTAAACAGATTAGGTTTAGATTTATACTAACTAAGTCAGATTTAGTGTTTATTCATACTTAGAATCCTAACTAGCTCATCCAAATTTGCCGAAACTTGCCTTATCCTAACAATTAATGCCCTGTGTCCCAGAAACTGTTTAGTCCTGGGCAGACTGCGACAAATTGGTTACCTAGTGACTTAGCAGCAGCAGCAGCAGCAGTACTGCGAAGCAAGATTACAGAAAAATGGAAAACAATCACAACATAGTAAGAAATAGCAAGTGTTGACCCTTCACCGACATTTGCTTCTCAGTCTGTACCTCAGTTTATTTTGTCACATCACAAACATTGTCAGTCACAGACTCTAACAAAAGGAGTAAATACAATCAAGTATTGCATTTTAAAAAGATTTTGTTGACTTCTAAAAGGTAAGGATCATTGTTAAATACTTGATTCTGTGCACATCTCATTAAATCCCCAGTTTTGAATATTTACTCAAAGTAGCTGCCGTCCTTGCAAGTGAATGATGAAGAACTTTTTAATGAGCTAGCATTGTAATCACTATGTTAGTATTTACATGGCAAAGGGAAGCTAACAGAAAAATGCAAGAGGTTTTTTGGATAGAGAAAAATAAACACTCCAGTCTTGTCACGTCGCTGTCTGCTCAAGGGAAATTTGAGAATGGAACATTTTACAGTTTGGGATACTTGACTGTAATCATGAGTTTATTTGGGTCTTTCTAAATTCAGTTTGACAGACTTCTGGGTGCAGACTTTATTTCTTTTGCAATTTCAGAAGTTCGATTTCAAAATGAAAAGACACGTCTAAGAGTGGAGTGGAATATTTATATGGAATTGGGAAAATTGGAAAAAAAATAGATCCTGCTATTCATTAGTTTCTATGTGACTCTAAAATAATTTTGGGAGGGTTCCACCAAACTTTACAACTTTTTTGTTCTTTTGTGGTTTTTTTGGTGTGTGTTATTGTTGATTTAATTTTCTCTCTCTTTTTTTTTTGTTTTGTTTAAAACTTAAAAAAATTGTCAGTGCTTACCTATACAACTCTTTACAACAAATACTTATAATTTTCTAATTTCTTAAGGCAAATGTTGCTTACTTTGGAAATGACATCTAAATCTATAATTGAGTGTTGCCACAATTTGTTATATCAAGTGGCCTCTCATTGAAACACCTGATCCCTGTCCAGTGTGTGTTAGAGGAACAGTAAAGATCAATACCTCTGTTCTCAAGACTGGGAGGGGAGTGGGAATTTTAAGCTTTGCTATTTGGTCAATGATTATTTGATATATCATTTGCAATGAGTCTCATATTAATGTCTGTTTCTCAACTAATAACTGTTAATCACATCATAAATCCCTGAAGTTGGATGTTTTTGAGAATTGTTCTAGCTTGGCTACCACCTGAAGAGCCTTCAACAGTTAGGGGGACCTTGGTTACTGTTGGTTTGGGGAGGGGGTTGGCTTTGGTTTTCTTGTTTTTTTGTTTTGTTTCATTTAAGTTTTCTTGTTCAATCTTTGCTCGAACCCAAGAACTTTAGCTGCTAAGTTAGAACTCCTGTCTGCTTTCCTGAGCCTTGTTGCTAGTCTTTATGTTATTCTGGTTTGTTCCTTCTTACCCTGCTAACTTCTAGCTGGACTGAAGGGTAAGTGTTCCCCTATAGCTAGCACAGCTCAGATAATCAGACTAGATTATCTGACACCTGCAATGTGCTTCCTCCCTCTCCTCTGAAATCTTCCTCATGTCTAGACTTTGTAGTAAAACTTTTTATGTAATTTTCCTGACCTTAGGTTGGAAATGTAAGCTTCCATAC